AGTTTGAGTGGCGGACCTGGGGGCTTGCCCCAAATCCCAAGAAGAACACAAAAGGAACTGCAGCAAGGCTGTGGGGAAGGGGTGACTTCGCTTTCCCTCTCTGCCTCTTTCCAGAGCACAAGTACCTACAGCAAATGAAAACGGAACAAAGGAGAACAAAAAGAAAATAACCTCTGCAGGCGGGATGAGGCTTGGGTGCTTACGGCCGGCCTGGAACCTTGGCCCCTTGGGGGCACTTCGTGGCAGAGCCCCCTCCTCCCTCGGAAGGCTGCTCTTCCCACAGGCACCCAGAAGGCCGGAGCAGTCCTGGTGGCTCCTCACGAGACTGTTCCAGCAATTGCTCCAGGAAAAGGGGGTCATTTTTAATTGTCCTTCGAGTTCCTCTGAGGCTCCAGAACGTTATTTTCCTCCCGCCCCCATGAGTGGCCTTCCGCTATCCCAGTTATCTAACTATAGACTCAAAATACTAAAAGGTGCCCAAGTCAGGTATGCATGTACTGCTTACAGACATTAATGCCCTCACAGGCTCACGTCCAGTTCCGCACAGGCTGGGAGCCAGCAGTTGCCCTGAGACTCGGGTGAGCACGGGCACGGGCACTTACAGGGCACTGCGGGTGCGCCCACTCGGCAGCCCCGGGCCAGCAGTCACGTCCTGCTTGTTACCAGGTGACACTGAGCCGGAAACAGCCCCCGACGCAGATGGGCATCCCCACCCCTGCAGTTTCCTGTGTACTTGGAAATACCTCTTTCTTTGTACAAGACAGGGAGAGGAAGACGACACACACCCTGACAGGGTCTCGGCACACCACGGCCCTCTCGCCAGTCCCCCAGCCAGCCAGATCTCGGGGGCACACAGGCAGGCCTGGTGTGTCCAGGTGAACCCTGCGTCTAAACCCAAGCCTCCCCTGTGGCTTCAGTATCACATGGGGGTGCCCGACCTTGCTCTATGGTAGAGAGGCCAAGTTTCGTTTGAAATAAAACAGAAATGAGAAATAATACAATTAACAGCAACGAGAAATAAGTTGCTGGGTTTATTTTACTTTAAAAATGTTTTTTAATTGTCAGAGAGCACATGGATTAGCCAGAAGGAGCGGGCAGCCCTCCATGGTGTGTGGCCACATTGCAACCCCCTACTCTACTCTGCGCTCTGGCGATGTGGGGCACGCACACACACACACCCAGCATGCTTCTCAACCCATCGGGCCCAGACGCAAACTGCAGTCAGCCGCACAGGAGCTGGCTCCCCCAAGCACTAGGCTACGAGGCCAGGTCCAGGCGTCTTTGGAAGCCACACACTGGGGCTTCCAGCAAGTCCCAGGGAAAGCATACCTTCCCGTACTTGCTGAAAAGGCTCTTCAGGTCTGTTGCGCGTGTGGTAGAAGACAGTCCGCTGACCCACAGGTTCCTACCAGAGCTGCTGCTGACCCGACCTGGCAGGAGAGAGGTTAGAACTTGAGCCGGGAACGATGGAAGGACGGCCATCCTAAGCCAGGACCCTCGCTAAGCCCTGGCCGCACTGGAGCTCAGCTCTCCTGACGCAGGGGTTTCATCGCTGCTGCACGTGCGTGGGGGACGGGTAATGTGGACGGGAGAAACTCAGGGTTTCTTCACTGGGAGCACCACTGTGTCCATGTAGTTACAAGCTTCTGTTCCGCTTTCTTTTAAAGAGGTCAGGTCTCACTAGGTTGCCAAGGCCGGCCCTGAATCCCTGCCCCTCCTATCTCAGTCTCCCAAGTAGCCGAGACTACAGGAAGGTGCCACTGTGCATGGCCTACACCGTCTTCTGATGACTGGCTCTCAACCGAGACAGCTACCTGTGAGCGTCCTGGTTATTATTCAGGGGCACGGATCTCCTGGACTTGTGCTTTCACAAATGACAACTGTCATAAAAACGTGACACGGATTCTCGGAATTCCTGGTTATTATTCAGGGGTACGAATCTCCTGGACTTGTGCTTTCACAAATGACAGCTGTCATAAAAACGTGACACGGATTCTCGGAAACCTTCACAGCCAGTATCTTAAGAAGCCATGCGGTGGCTAATTATAGTCACCCACAATAAAACGAATAACTGGATCCAAACTGTGGATAGTGCAGGCCCCTCCTCCCAAAATAAGGGATCCACGCATGGCTCCCGACCACGTAAGTTAAATCATACCTTTTTCATCCTTAATGATTGGCTTTATATCTTTTTCTTCCTTAAAAGAGCTAGAGACAAAAGTTCATGTTACTCATACAGGAAAAAATGAAAGAGAACTAAATCAAAATATGGTATGTGCTAAAACTGAATACCTACCAGAAATTAATCTGAAATAAAATTTTAACAGACACCTTTGCAAACTTATACTGGAAAATCTGACCCCAAAAATACAATGTCAGATTCATAAAAGTCAATTCGATTTGGCTGAAGATAACAATTAACGATTTAAGAGCACAACCGTGGTAGGTTGAGAAAAAGAAAAGGAATCGTATCACCCATTAAAAAATACACAAAGAGAAATAAAACACTGCTTAGAGGTAAACTACAATTTCGTCAGTCTGGCTGGCCAATTGCAGAAAAAACAGCTTATGTGTGTCATTAAATGACCAATGAAAAGGAGATAGCGTCTGGTCTAAAACTGAGAAAAAACAAACCTCATTTTCTGATCAGCGCCCTCACTGGCTGAGGACTCTTTAGTGGCCGGAGGGACTTCATTACAAGCTTCAAAATCAAACTTCTTCACGTCTTCTTTGCTATCTCTGGCTTCTGGGCTTGGGGCTTCCGTGGGCGCTTCCGCGGCCTCCTCGCTAGAGGCCTCCGCGGGCTCCGAGGCCGCGCTACTCTGCTCAACTGGCTTCTCTAGCCCTACAGGCTCACAGTCCGTGCTCGCGCCAGCGCCAGCGCCCGTCTGCTCCGCGGGCTCCCTTTTCACTACCGCTAACGGGGTGTCTGCCTTGCCCGACTGAGCGTGTGTTGACTCGCTGGCCAAATCTAAATCACCCTCCTCCGGATGAGCGCTGTCAAAAAGGTCCTCTTCCTCCGCAAGCTTTCTGTCTGGCCCCACGCTACTTGTATCCTGTGCAAATGGCTGCTCCAGCTCGGAACCTTCTTCTTTTACTGGCTCAGATTTACAAGTTTCCCCCAAAATGTCGAGTATTTTCTCATTTTCTACGGATTTAACAGGAATAGAATGGCACAAGGTTTAATTACCAGGGAAATACAGCAATCACAAATGCGGAACTGGCACGGCTGCCACACTAACACCGAGAGCACTGCTAGCCACACAGAGATTGGAAAACCCGCGGCACACACAGTTACACTGGTACACTACCTGCGCTCCGCATTCACTGACAGCTCGACTTGCACGTTTTCTTTGAATTTTGTTTAACAGAACAGTCCAACATGAAAACCGAAACTCTTCCGACGGCAGGAGACAAACGCAGTCCAGAGGGGAATAAAGTGTTGGAAGTTTCCATGAAGACACTCGGTCTCCTCTTCTGGAATCCAGTCCCTGTCCCTTCTCAGTCAGAGGTGCCCTGACCACAGCTCTGTCCTGCCTTAATGTGTTAGTCAGAGTGACTGCAGCAAAATATCACAAGATCTGTTTCATGTGTAGAAACACATGGAAGACTCTCAGAGGGAAATGACTGAAATGCCACTCTACGTGGCTGGAGATGCAAGTAATCACCGCATCTCACCAAAGATGTTTGCCATCGACGAGCCAGAACGGCCCTTCCACAGATCTGGTGATATGAGTGGGTTTCCAATCTCTGATCCTTGTACGATCTGGATTGTCCACCATTAGGGTAATTTACAAAGACCGGCACAGCTTAAAAGAGAAACAGCTTTAAATAACAGTAGCGTGAAAACTTTCAAACCATTAATTGTCGCATTTATCTTATCAGTACCTGGCTCCAGGAGGGGTTCTTCAATATCCTATTTAAGAAAGAAAAGAAAAAGCAAATCTACCAGTCACTTCGGGAACCAGGACCAAATCAATCTAGCTTTGAATCATCTGTAAACTGACGGCTGCTTGAAAAGCTTTCTCTGCTCAGAACACACCTCATCCTACTGTAACTCAGGGAGGGCGAGCTCACCCTGCTGCTCCTCCTGCGCACCCGTGGGTTAGCGGCGGTCACACTGGCACTCTGCCCAGCCCACAGCCCCTGGAGCTGGCCTACTCCTGTGGTCACTGCAGAGGTACAGGGGTGGCCGCCTCATTGTACACCTCAGCCATCTAAGAAATCTTCCCCACCAGACACCATTGTCTGTCACCGGGCCCCGTTACCTTGCACTCCGCTGTCTCTTACCCTGACGAGGATGTTCTCTGAGCTGCCCCTGCCTACGCACAAGCTCGCGTGCACCCCCCTCAGCCAGTCACGCTCTGTTCTGCCCCGGGTCGAGGGCCACACCTGGTCCGTACTCCTGTTCTAACTCCTGACCAAGGGTTGGACTTCAGCGAGGGCCTGACTCCCACTGGGAACCTTCCAGGCACCTCTGCCCACCTGTGACTCCTCATCACCGGCCCCTAGCTCGGTCAGTGCTCGGTCACACAGCCAAGTTCTCACCACTGCGGAGTGTCAACCACTCACTGAGAGTTTCCCGGATGCCACACTGCGGGGGACCTACCGGAGTGACTTTGAAGTCCAAGGCTGAAACTTCCAAAGCATCCTCAAAGCCTTCCCCATCCACCTGAACAATGAAATGGACATGACTTTGAGGAGAGTAGTTACGAAAGAAAGCCAAGGCCCACCCATCGTCACCATGGCCACGCCCTCCTGAGCACCCCTTGCTGGCCCCAGCCTGCTGCCCCATCAGCCAGTGCAGAGCCTCTCCTGCCCATGCTCAGGGACAGCCCCGGGTGGCTGTCAGTAACCGTCGGGGAGTTTCTGAGTACTCGAAGCCGACATACACCACCCAACCTCAGGATTTCCAAGGCAAAGCTCAAAAGGGTAACCTCTGCATACCTCTATTTCATGGAAATGCTTTCTTCTTTTTATTTATTTATATTTCAGAGAGATTTTCGCTATAGGGCACACGCGCTCACCGGAGAGACAGAGACAGAAAGCGAGAAATCACACCCCAGGGAGAATGGCCACACTTCAATTCCTTCTCCTCCACTCTCCTCTCGGGGTCTTGGGCACACACGCACACTTGCCCAGTATGAGTTTTAAGTTTCCAGGTCCAGGGCTTGAACTCGAACCACAGTCAACTACATGGGAGTCCAGCAACATAACCATTATGCCAACTGCTGGTCCCCTTCTTTTTCTTTTTTAAAAAATGCATTTATTTAATTCCATTTATTATTATTACTCTTATTTTAAAGTTTGCTATAGGGCACATGCAGTCACTGGAGAGAGACGGGAGGGAGGGAGGGGAGGGAGAAAACAAGCAGGCAGGGCCGCGACCCAGCCACAGTCACCATGTGGGAGTCAAGCACTTTAACCGCCACGCCACCTGCTGGCTCCACACAGAAAAGCTTTCTATCAACAATAACAAAGCACTTTCTTCTGGGCTACTTTACTTAAAGTGGACATTGAGCTTGATCTTCTCCTTCCTACTTACCAAACCAAAGAACTGTTATCTGAAAACGCAGTGAACTGGAAGGCCTGTGTCTTTCTAAGTGAACTACAAAGACACCCTGTCCACACTGTCCTGTGCTGCGTTCCTTTTCCAGATTTGAGTCTCTGACCGGGCTGCCTCCATTAACCGAGAAGCTGGTGAGCAAGAGTGTGCTTGGAAAGTAACTGCGGCCCCACAGCTATCACAGTAAGGAAGCAGAGGACTATGCAGCTGGTGTGGTGGGTAAGGCACTGCACGCCCACATGGCCAACCGTGGTCTGAGTCCTGGACGTGGCAGCCTGAAAACCATGGCAGGCACGTGTGCGTGTGCCCACACTGAGGAGGGATCACGGCATGGCCATCCCCCAGGAGGTGATGGCTCCCTTTCCCACAGTCTCTGGAGAGCACACACACCTATAACAGAAATCAGGGAAGGGCCAATCGTTGCTCACCGCTCCCCTAGGTCAAGGTGCAGCTGTTCTGCAGCTCACGACTGGACCTTAAGGTCTGAGGTCCAGCTCTAGAGGGCATGTTGTCCTGAGGGAGAGAGCTCTAATGCTGAGTGAGGAAAGCCACCAGCTGCAACAGCTGGATATGGGAAGTCGGCTGGATGAAAATGACGGACCAGTTTGGGCCAGCCCATGTCATGGCTGTTCCGGTGGCTAGATCTCACGTGGCTGACCGCATGGTTCAATTCTTGAACGCAGCAGCTTGAAAATCATGCCTGGCCCAAGTCCCTGTGTGCTCAAAACTCAGACAGGAGGAGGATGGAGAAGAAGGGAACGTGGCTTGGTCATCTCGTTGGGGGAGTGTTCTTTCTCAATTTCTCTCTCCAGAGAGTGCAAGTGTCCTCTGACAAAACATTTCCTCTAAGACAGCATCTCTGCAGGTGCTGGAAGACTCACCTGAGGGCTCTACTGTAAATACTCAAGATAGAATACCGCGACAGCCAGACCAGCCACAGAACTAACGCCCTCTGGGGGCAGAGAGTAGCACGGCAGTAACCTGGCTGGACCCGAGTGAGACCAGTCCGGAGCCCGCATCTCAGGACTGTCCTGAGCATACCAGGTGCGCACGGCCTGTGACCTGGGGCTGCACCAGCAGTGTAGGCCCCTGTGGGGGATGCCTGCACATCCGTCTGTCTGTCCTGCTGTCCTGGAAGGAAGGAAGGTCCCTCCTGGGCAGCCGTGGTTGGGCCCACTGGTCGATACTGCCACACAGGAAGCCCGTGCTCAATTCCTGGCCACCTCACAAGGAAGGGCGTGGGGGCACATCCCCCCGTTACTCGGGAGGCTGAGGCACCAGGATCGTGACACAGCAAGACCCTGTCTAAAGAAATAAAAGATTGTCTGCACTGCGGAATTAGAAACCGTTTCTGTTCTCTAGCATTTTAAAAAATCCATTTCTTCGGGCCAGCAGTTGGCATAATGGCTATGTCGCTGGACTCCCATATAGTCGACTGTGGTTCTAGTCCCGGACCTGGTGGCTTAAACTCACACTAGGTGCGTGTGAGTGCGTGCCCAAGATCCCAAGAGGAGAATGGAGAGGAAGGGACTGCAGCGTGGCCATCCCCCCTGGGGGGGATGATTTCTTACTTTCTCTCTCTGTCTTTCTGGCGAGCGTACGCATCCTATGGCAAAACTCTCTCCAAAAAAAAATTCGTTTCTTTCACGAGAGTGAGAGACAGACCACGGGCACACGCACCCAGCGTGTATAAGCCAACCAGGGAACTGAACCCGCCTCTCCCGCAAGGATCGAGTTTAGCTTAAGTGTGTTACGGAGGCACCCTGAGCCAGCCCTTATCTTCGACAAGAAAAACTTGCACCAGCTACGAGCAGTCTACACTGTGACTTGCAGTATGCCTGGAGTATCGCCCAGCCAAATACAACACACTCGAGTTCCGCAGAAAGGCCACCCGACACTCGGTCCCCCTGGAGCTTAAGAGGATGCAGTTCACCACCGAGATTCAGAGAGCGAGTCCTGCCCGTGGCGGCGCAGCCATGCTCCCCTCATACAGACGGCACCTGACCGCTGGCCTACTGGCACACGCCGCCATGTCCCCAAGTTACCTACAGCATGCTCTGTGAGCTGGGCCGGAAGCTGTCCGTCCTGCAAGGCCACGCAGTCTTTACTGTCACAGAGGGAGTCGAGGAGGCTGTCGGCGCCATCCTCCCCGAAGTCTGGAGCACTACTATTCTCGACGTCGGTCTCGTCTAACACGCTAATGTCCATCATGTCGATGTTCTGCAAGTGCTCGAAACTCGCGTCCATGTCCTCCTGCAAAGAAGCACCCGTGTGAATGACCAGGGGACCGCGGCAGAGCCGCTGCTGCCGTCTCCGCGTGATGCCACGTACCTGCCCGTCTCTGGAATCCTCTTCCAGGCCATTGTCCTCTGTGCCGTCCTCGTCCATCCTTTGTCCTAATTACAGAACAATCGTTCGATCAGAAACACTCGTGTTCTGGCCTCGTAATTCATTGACGCAATGACAGATTTCAACCTTCCTTCCCACCCTGAAACAAGAGCGTCAGTTCTTCTGTCGTGTTTAACTCTGTCGTCACTGATATTCTAAGGAAGCGAAAGACTGGGACGTGAACACTAGGATTTGTGTCATCCAATCCAAGTATTTTGGCTTCCACCAAGAATCCAAAAGCTCAGAGGATTTTAAAACTGCTCCAAACCAACATGTATGCCCAAAATGAATAACAAGCCGAGCATGAGAAGAGCTTCAGACACACGTGCACAAGCAGAGCCCACGCCTACCCGGTGGTCGAAGCGCGGCCACCTACAGTAACACCTGCACGTCCCTCACCGGGACCGCCATCCCGCTGCCCCTCTCTGCAGCCCGCCTATGTCCAGCAGGTCACCTGCCCTGTCACTTCACCATCAGGAAAAGGCAAAAGGGTGAAGGCTGCCATAAAACCAACAGACGTCCTGGGCTTCATGAGCACCACAGAGCTTCCTGAGTCATGCTGGGTACCCCGAGGGAGCACGCTGGGAACCCCAACACGCAGAAGGGACATAAAACCTCTTGGCCCACAAGCCTCAAAGCCCTTAAAACGGGCACACCCTTTGTCCCAGGAATTCTTTTGGGACACACACCACCAAGTCTGACAAGGAAGCTGCAAGCCGGGCACTTACTCTACCTGGAGACAGCGACCAGCCGACGGCTGAGAGCTGCGTCAGAGCACACCTACTTTCCTAGGCGGTGCACCAGGGGTGGGAGTGGCAGCACCCACAAATACGCTTGGTGTCCTACTGTGCTGGGGCATTTCGTGGACAGCACCAGGCAAGCTGCTCGACGCCCTGCCCCAGTGCACAGGGCAACGCCCCACCAGAGAACCGGCCCACAGGGCCAGGGCTGAGGAGCCCACGCAACACCTACATCCTGTGACCTCCAACACTAAGCTCAGGTCGGCCGGCGACACTGCCGTGACCTGCTGCTCCAACAACCCTGGGCCCACTCAGAGGCTCCTTCGTGGCCTTGGTCCCCCCCAGGTGACCTGCACCTGCCAGGTCTGTGCCCGGTCCCTGGCTGGCCAGGAAGCTTGGGAGGAGGGGAAGACTGCAGCATGCAGCATGAAACCCTGTCTGTCTGTCTCCACAACTCTCATGAAAGAAAGAAAAATAAATGACAAGTTTAAAGAATACTTAGCAGCCGAGGAAAATGTTCCAAAAGAACTTCCAAAAAACCCACACAGACCCATTTTCAGCAGGGATGTGTTTTTATGCGTCCAAGTGGGGTACGCACTTACAGAATACACAGTGGCCGTGGCTAAAACGACGATCGATGTGGGGCATAGTGCTGGTATGTGTTGGGTCCAAGCACTGCAGGAGTACAGACCACTGTGTGCATACACACGTACACACAGACACACATCCGCCAGAAAGCAAGTGCGCTTGCCAGAGATGGCGGAAGGAAAAGAACGCATCCTCTGTGGGGCGCGGTCACGCCACAACCCCTTCTCCATTTCCCCATCCTGTCGGGATTTGGGGCACATGTGCTCTTCAGAGTGTTTCAGCAGGGCTGGGCTCTAATAAACCACTTGGGAGGCCGTGTGGGTCCACGTGCTCACCCACTGGACCACAAGGCCAGCCCTCCTAAAAACAATACCGCAATAATTTTTTTCGGAATGTAAGAAAGTTAAACATGAAACAGCTCAATGTTTGACAAAGACCCTCACTGCAGTGTGTATACCTCCAGTAACCCATTCACCATTACTACCAGTAATTACTCAGGGCTGGCAGGCGGCACGGTGGTTAAAAGTGCTGGACTCCCACACGGCCACTCATGGTTTGAGTTCTTGACCTGGCAGCTTGCTTTCTAACTTTCCCTTTCTCTCTCTTTCTGTCTTCCTCTGGTTAAATTACATAACCCCTTCTCCATTTCCCCATCCTGTCGGGATTTGGGGCACATGTGCTCTTCAGAGTGTTTCAGCAGGGCTGGGCTCTAATAAACCACTTGGGAGGCCGTGTGGGTCCACGTGCTCACCCACTGGACCACAAGGCCAGCCCTCCTAAAAACAATACCGCAATAATTTTTTTCGGAATGTAAGAAAGTTAAACATGAAACAGCTCAATGTTTGACAAAGACCCTCACTGCAGTGTGTATACCTCCAGTAACCCATTCACCATTACTACCAGTAATTACTCAGGGCTGGCAGGCGGCACGGTGGTTAAAAGTGCTGGACTCCCACACGGCCACTCATGGTTTGAGTTCTTGACCTGGCAGCTTGCTTTCTAACTTTCCCTTTCTCTCTCTTTCTGTCTTCCTCTGGTTAAATTACATAATATTAATTAAAGTGAAATAAACAATGAAAAAACATTACTCAGGAGGGCCAGCCATGGAGGCCCAGCTGTAATGCACCGTTCAGTGATGCTGAGTTCACGTGGAGAGGCCCCGGCTTGCACCCAGAAGTCTCCCTGTACTTGCCAGGTGCACACGCCTGTGGTCCAGGCTGGCTGAAGCTGGGTTAAAACAGCATGAAGACTGTCGGGAGTGCTGTCTGTCTCTATTTCATGGAAAAGTTAAAAATTAAAAATAAAAAAACCTACTCAAGAAACGTAGTTCTATTACATGTCAGGCGACGTGGGCCTTGCATTCTGTTACTCAGCACTCCCACCACCACCAGCAGGTTTTACTCCGTGCGTCAAACGCATGCAAACTTGGTTCAGTGCCCACACTTTGCATCCTACCTAAACACAAAAGCACATCCTTCTGAAGTCCACTGTGTAAAAATGCTTGGAAGCTGCACCCTGTCCAGAGGCTTCTGCACAGGAACCCGCAGCACTCAGGTGGGAGGTAAATAGGAGGATGCAGACTGAACAGCTTAACGGAAAAGCTTGACCCTCGAGCTCACAACCCCCTGTCGCAGCACCCAGTCAGTGGGAGCAGAGGTGCACACCACTGCCGCTGGCCCTCAGGCTGGACCAGGAACAAGGCCTGGGCCTTCCTCCACGTGGTCACAGCCTGCAGAGTCTCATTACAGCACCCTCACCGCTGGCTCATCTAAGCTTCACTCTAGCACAGACAGGTGTCTGAGTGCCTGACTACACTTCACTCTCTAATGACGCCATGACCCTCTTTAGGATATTCTGAGTAGGGAGCTGGAACCTCAGCTTTAAATGAGTGTACACACAAAGATGTCTTAAGCTGTACTGCTAAGTCATTTATGCAGCAATTCAAAATCGTGGCGTGCTTAGCCTTTAAGCAGAAGACGGATGCATGTTTCCTGCTGTAGACTAGTCTTTCCCATTTGGTACCTGCTCAGCCTTTCGAGCTGAAATACAGATACGGCATCAGCAAAAACACAGCGATGTTTTGAAACTGAATCTTAAATCCTTTATGAAACCTTACCAAAAAATTAAACCTTTCAAAACACATGCATATAGAAGCATGACAGAAAAGCTGTCCTTGTAGGAAAAGGAGCTTTAAAAACCGAGACTGGGGCCGGCAAGTGGTGAGGTGGTTAAGGTGCTGGACTCCTACATGGCTAATTATAGTTCGAGTCCCAGACCTAGCAGCTCGCTTTCTCATTTTTCCTTTCTTGCTCCCTCTCTCTCTGGTCAAATTAAATAATAAAAATAACAAGAAATGGAATTAACTAAATAATTCTAAGAAAAAAAAAAGCCAGAGATTGTTGAAAACTAACTTTTAATTTTATAAGCAGCCATCCTTCATCGCTTGACTTTTCCACTTCTCCAGGTAAATGGAACGTGTACGGGGGTTGGCCTTTTTACACAGCACGTTTTAAGAAAAGTCACATCCTTAGCACTGTAGAACCTCATAATGAGGAGTATGGCCAGTAAGGACAGTCCAGGATTCAAAGTTTTATGGCATTAAAAGCTCCCCAAAACTCTCATTAGCCCTAAAAAGGACTGAAGAAACCCCACTGAACCTTTGAAACATGCCCCCGGTGAAACAGGCTAACACAAAAGGCTGTAAGCCCTCTGGCTCCATTTACATAAGAGTCCAGAACAAGCCAAGGGCGGAAGAGAATGCCAGTGACTGGCAGAGAGGCTGGAGGGAGGGCGAGGAGAATGAGGAGCGACTGCTCATGGGAAGGATGGGGCATACTCAGTGGTGATGAGAACACCCCAGATTTGGATGGTGGTGGTGGTTGCACAACTTCATGATACACTAAGAAGCATTTGGTTCTCCGACATACACCTGTGAACTCAATAGTTTATGAACTCGGGAACCAGCAGTTAGCGTAATGGCTATATCGCTGGACTCCCACGTAGTCGACCGCGGTTCACGTCCTGGACCTGGTGGCTTAAAACTCACGTGAAAACAAGCAATCAAAAGACTAAACTTTTTATTCATTTTATCAAAGTGTAATTGACAAATAAAAATTATATACATTTAGGTGAGCAATGTGATGTTATTTATATTGTAGATACATATGTATACATTGTAAAATGGTTAAATACAGTTAATTGACATATGAACTACTTCATTTTTTGTTGTTGTGAGGACATTTAAGATCTCTTCTCTTAGCAATTTTCAGGAATACTGTACATTATTATATTATTATTAACTATATCCACCATGTTCTACAGCAGATCTCTTAAACTTATCCCTCCTGTTTAAATGAACTTTTTCTAATTGTAAATGAACTTTTTTATCCTTTGATCAACTTCTCCTCAACCTTAACCATCCTCTTCCCTCAGTCCCTGGCAACCACTATTCTACTCTCTGCTTCTATAGTTTGACTTTTTGATTCCACATGCAAGTGAGATTGTACAGTTCTTATAAGACTCTGAGAAAGTGTATATTTTTCAACTTACCATACAGAAGTGCATTTAAAAAAAAAAGAATGCTTTTTTTTAAGAGAAATTTTTGCTATAGGGCGCATGTGCTCGCCAGAGACAGAGAGACAGAAAGCAAGAAATCACCCCCCAGGGGGGATGGCCACGCCGCAATCCCTTTTCCTCCATTCTCCTCTCGGGATCTTGGGCATGCATGCACGCACGCACACGTGCCTGGCGTGACTTTAAGCCATTGGGTCCAGGACTCGAAACGTGGTCAACTACATGGAAGTCCAGTGACATAGCCATTACGCCAACTGCTGGTCCCACAGATTTTAAATTTTAAAGAAAGAAACTGGTAAAATACAGGCGGGGTCCGAATACCCTAACAATTTTGGACCCCAGAGATCCTGTTCTGTCTGGAGTTGTCCTTTTTCTTAGTTTAAGGCCTATTTTTTTGAACCAGGAACAAAGTCAAACAGGTACATTTCATGCTCAGACCAGCTGGGATAGCTTTCAGAGGTCTTAAAGAGTGCTCTAGTTCTCTGATCCCCACGACAAGAACGGAAATGTCTTCGCCATATGTTTAAGTTTACTGAGTGGGGCTAGCAGCTGGCATGGCAGTTAAGATGGCTGGACTCTCACATGGCTGACTGTAGTTCGAGTCCTGGACCTGGCAGCTTGCTTTCTCACTTTCCCTCTCTCTCTGGTCAACCTTAAACAAATAAAATAAAATAGTGACAGTGAATAAAATTAAATAAAAAATAATTCTTTAAATTAAAAAGTTTTACTGAGTGCCTGGACACCTCTCCTCTTCCCTGCATTCTTGGCATAGCTCCTCACTAAGCCTCGTACCAGAGAGAGGACAAGGGCCAAAGACGTCTTCCCTGTCCTGGGGCAGGAAGGGCTGGGCACCATTTCTCTGCCCAGCCACGACGTGCCACACTGCGTGACGCTGGAGCTATATGGGAGATCTGGCTGGAAGAACGAGGGCATTACAGTGTGGCAAGACCCTGTTGGGGCGTCCTGGTCTCCCTCTCTGTCCTCCTCCCTCTCCTGAGAGAAAGGCATAACCTTGAAGGGTTTTTTTATCTCTACATTTTCTAAACACTCAGGCCCCAGGCTACAGTAAGACAGGAGCAGATACCTTTTATGTATCTCTTTGTCATCTTCTTGCTTGCGGCTTCTAACTCGATGCCAATTTCATCTGGATCCTGCCCTTCTTCCTTAACCGCCTGTCAAGAAGAGGTGCATTTTTTACAGCATTATTTGAGAGCTGCAGGGCACACGCTGTTCCCCGTAAGTAACGACTTCCCAGTAAACAAAGGCAAACCCGGCCTTGCAGAGAGCGACTCCGGTTCTGCTCTCTGGGCTGCGAGCCCAAAACCGCTCAGGACCAACCTAGAACAACTTGGCCCTCTCTGGGCCCCGTGCCCAAAAGGCAGCGGAGGGAGGCTGTGCGTGGGGGCTCCAGAACTGGGGTCAAAAAACAGCCCCAAACATGGCCACGAATCTCCACAGCGCCCCACCTTCCACTCTAAGTTCCAGGAGGAAAGAAATATCAATGGGGGGGGGGCTGCTCTTGGCCTCGCCCGGGGCGAGGAAAGAAATATCAATGGGGGGGGGGGCTGCTCTTGGCCTGGCCCGGGTCTGAAGCGCCGGGTGGGGTTCACGGCCATCCTCCCCCTGCTCCGGGCCAGGAGGGCTTCCCTCCACGGGTACTGGGGGCTTGGAAGATCGAAGTACAAACGCGCTTCGGTGCAAAACGCTTGGAGAGCCTGCATAACGCGTGACCCCTGCGGACAGGGCACTCCCCGGGTCCCCCCGCCCCGGAGCTCGGGGTCCAGCAGGGAAAGCGGACAGTCCCCAAGGAGCGGCACCTACGGGAGGGTGGTCGCGGAAGCCCCCGACCCGGACAGGTCCCAGGCGACGACGAGGCCACGCTGGGACCCGGGGCCCGGCACCGCCTCTCTCCTGGGACGTCCATTCTCCAGACGGACCTGGGGCGCCCGGCGGGAGAGGCACCTGCCCAAGGTCACAGAACCGAGGCTCGAACCCGAGCGCGCGGCGGGGTCTGGGGGGCACCCCCGGCTAGACGGGACTGGCTGGAGGGAGGAACAGAGAGGGGCGGGTCCGGGCCA